GTAGTAGTGTGTGTGTGTGTGTGTGTGTGTGTGTGTGTGTGTGTGTGTGTGTGTGTGTGTGTGTGTGTGTGTGTGTGTGTGTGGGTGGGTGGGTGACCGATCGATCGGCGTTGTCCTGTCGCTTGGCTTGCGCTCACCGGCATTCTACCGTCTGTCTTATGCAAGCCACTGACCTGGTGCTTCGTCCTGCCTGTGTTGACTGTTGTCCTGCTGCTTCCTCGCGCCCACCGCTTCGTTTTCAATGCTGTTGCAGGCGTCATCATCGGGCCTGTGCTGTTGGTGTCCGTGTACTTCCTGGTTGTCTACTCCTGCGTGCTCCTCGTCTCAGCTTCAAAAGCATGCGGAGGTGTGCGCGTGTGCGCTGTTTGAGCGTGTTGTCAAAGTGACTGCATGGTGGATCCCCCCTGCGTCGTCTCTGCATTATCTCTGCACTGTTTCCCTCTGCGTCATTTTACCCCTATGCACATCCCCAACCACCTCACCCACCCCATCTCACATCATGCAATACACATTCACTCGCACCTGGTGTACGGCAGGTCGATCCTTCTCTGAAATTGCCAGTTGTGCGCTGGGCAGACCCGGCATCATCGCCACGCAGGTGGGACCCTTGCCGCTTTCGGTTGTCATGTCGCTCGACGCTTTCGGTTCTCGTGGCCGCACATGTTAGTGCTGGACAGGGCACACGATGATGGCAACAACAAGACTGTAACACGGGCTCACCCTGCTGCCTGCATCGTGTTCATCCCGCTGTTGTTGGTTGTTGTTGGTTGTTGTTGGTGCAGATTTCGCTTGTGATTGCCACATTTGGGGCGGCAACATCGTACCTGGTGATTGTGGGAGACATGATGAGCCCTCTCATCGGTAAGCTTCGCTCTTGGTGTTGTGTGTGCGTGTGTATGTGTATATGTATGTGTGCGTGTGTATGTGTATGTGTGTGTGTGTGTGTTTGTGATTGCATGCAATGCTCGCACAACACACCTCACAAGCACACATGTACACAAGTGTATGCACATGCATAACGTTCTCTTCCCCCCCCCCGGGCGTGCTGCCTCCACACACATTCAGGCCAGTGGATGGGCGGGACGAACGAGGACTTCTGCAGCATATATGCAGACAGGCGGTTCAGCATCAGCCTCAGTCTGCTCGTCGTCTGTCCGCTGTGCATGTTCAAGCACATCGACTCCCTCCGCTACGTCTCGTACCTCGTAAGCCGTGGTCAACTCTGTGTGTGAATGTGTGCGTGTGTGTGTGTGTGTATCTGTGTGTGTGTGTCTGTGTGTGTACTCCAAGAACCAACCAATGGCGTGCAATATCTTTGCTTTCTCGTGCGCACACGCACACGCTCTTGCATGTTGACTCGCCCAACAGCTGACTAACTCACCCACATCACACACAACCCCCATACATACAACAAATGCAACACACAACACCTATACATACACACACGAAACAACACACAACCTCCATACATACAACAAATGCAACACAATCCGACGTTCCAGGCCATTGCGATGGTGTCGTATTTGCTGGTGATCGTTGTGGTGCGAAGTGGGGAGTCGCTCAACAAAGGCAGCGGCCAAGACGTCAACTTCATCAACGTCACGGAAACCATTTTCCGAGCCATGCCCATCATCACCCTCGCCTACACCTGCCAGATGAACCTGTTTGCGCTCCTCTCCACTCTCGAGTCGCCGACTCGCCGCAACGTCAGACGCGTCATCTACGGTGCGCCTGTTTTGGTGTGTGTGTGTGTGTGTGTGTGTTTGGAGAAATGGGATTGAACCTCACGCTGCGTGTTGCTGTCCTTTTACGCCTGCGCCCCCTCCATCTCTCATACACACACACACACACGCACGCACGCACGCACTCCCTCACACACACACGCACGCACGCACAGGAGCATTGAGCGTGTGCATGGTGATGTACATTCTGATTGGGCTGTTTGGATACCTCACCTTCTTCCAAGAGATCAAGGGGAACGTGCTGCTCAACTACGAGGCATGACTTGCACACACACACACACACACACACACACACACACACACACACACACACACACACACACACACACACAAATGAGAGCAGGTGGCGGTGGGAATCAAGATCTTGTGTGCGCATGATCTTCACTTCTGATTCCATGCACCAATGATGATGGGCATCATTGTTGCTACCGTCACATCATCGTCGTCGTCATCATCATCATCATCATCATCATCATCATCATCACCATCATCACCATCATCATCATCATCATCATCATTCAGGTTGATGACACGGCGGTGATGGTGGGACGCGTGGGCGTTGCCCTCATTGTCCTGTGCTCATTCCCGCTCATGATGAACCCCTGGTCAGTACACTCGATATATGTTGGGTATCTGTGTCTGCGTTTGCGTGCGTGCGTGTGCGTATGTGTGTGTGTGTGTGTCTGTGTGTGTGTGTCTGTACATGCACAAGTCATATCATGCTATGGTATATGCTTGACGCCCTCGTTGACATGTCCCTCACACACTCAACCCCCCCCCTTCCTTTCAACCCACACCCCACCTCAACACACCTCCACGCCATCTACGTGCAGCCTCGTGACGCTTGAGGAGATGCTGTTCCATGCCGGGGATGCGACGCCGCCGGAGCAGCGGCCGTTTCGCATCGGGCGCCGCGCCGTGATCATGACCGCCACCGTCGGCCTCGCATACACCATCGCCATGGTCAGGCAACTTGATGCTGTCACGTGGTGTTGATGTCGTGATGTGTTGTGGTGTTGTGTTGTGATGTTGGGGTGATGAACCTTTGACGCTCGTGTTGTTGCTCTATTCTAACGCCCCCCCCCCCTAAGCCCCACCGTCTTACCCGCGCTGTCTGCCTGTCTCTCGTGGCTGCCCTGCAGTTGGTTGCGGATGTGTCTGTGGTGCTTGGCATATCGGGTGCCATTGGCTCAATCGCCATATCCTTTATCCTCCCGCCGCTCTTTGTCCTCAAACTCAAACCAAACATGCCCACCCGCCAAAAGGTGTCAATTTACACGCGTGCGTGTGTCTGTGTGTGGTTGTGTGTGTGTGTGTCTGTGTCTGTCTGTGCGTGTGTGCGTGTGTGTGTGGTTGTGCGTCTGTGTGTCTGTGTGTGTGTGTGTGTCTGCGTGTCTGTCTCTCTGTCTCTCTCTCTCTCTCTCCCTGTCTGTCTCTCCCTCTCTCCCTCTCTCTGCACGCCTGCCTGCCTGCCTGTCTGTCTGTGCCTGTGTTGTAAATTGTTTCCGTTTCAACTCTCACTCTCCCCCCCCCCACTATCGTCCTTCCCCCTCTTCTCAAACTGCTGCCCCCCCCCTCTTACCCTGGCAACTTACAACTTGCAGATCCTGCCTGCGACGTTGGCTGTGGTTGGCGTGGCGGTGCTGGTGGTGAGTCTCGTTGTCACAATCTTGGACGCAATCGACGCCGGTGACGACCTCAACCTCGCACACGCGTGCAACCGCTCGGCGCTCCACCACCACAACGCCACTAATGCCACCACCACGCTGCTCCTCGAATGATTGATCGGTGTTGATGATGGTATTGATGATAACGACAATGTTGCGGATGACTGTGTTGACGATGATGGTGATGGTGAATAGTCAGGCACGCTGTGTACATTGTTGGCATTCTGTGAAATCGTGCACACACACGCACACACACACACACACACGCACAAGCGCGCGCATGCGCGCTCATTGCTTCAGTGACACTGTTACATTTCTGGCACAAGGGTTGATTGGTAGTGCTCTTTGCTGTCTTCGTGACGTTTTGTCGCTTCGCGCACCACAACAAACCAGATCGCACACGAATGAATGTACATGTGTATGTGTATGCTTGAGTGCATTCACGTCTCGGCACTGGTGGTAGTTGATGAACGTTGGGTTGTACGAATGCGTGTGTACTTGCTAACTTGGAGAGATGGCTTTATGGCGAACAACGAACCAACACACCATCCATCAGCGAGAGCAATAGCAGCAACAAACCAACACACAAGAATGGGCGAGGCTTTCCACAGACACATGACGCATGCTGACAGTACATCAACCTCTACCTCACACACTCTTCTAATCTTCACAGGGCGTCAGTCTCTACATCCACACCATGAAGCCAACTGCAACCACGCTGCACACACGCACACAACATTCTCGCGCACAAACACATCACCATCACCAACATCAACATCATCAACGACAACACAACGGCACAAACACGCGGTGTTCGGTTGTGTCTGCTTATGCACTGCCGCCCTTACGGCGCACGAGATCACGCACGCTCTCCTGCTGCTCCTTCAGTGATTGTTCCATCTTCTTTTGCGCCTCCTACACAGTTGATGGTGGCCGGTGTAGCCATGGATAGATCACGTCAGCGTATGTCATCACGTGTACACATGTGTATGCTGACGTCATTTGGAGCTATTCGTGCCACTCACAACCTCACTCGCTCACTCACCCACTCACACACACACTCACATACTAACTCACTCACTCACACACTCTCACTCACACCTTCACACACTCACACACACATGCACACACTCACACATGCATGCACACACACATACGCACACTCACACACGCACACACCGTGAGCTTCTTGACGGACGAGTCAGCGTCCTTGGCAATCTCCTCAAGCTCGTTCATGATGGTATCCTTGTCGGAGATGACAAACCTGATGGCACATTCCACAAAGCACGGGTCAGTTGAACACAATCGCCTACACATACACCCCACAAATGTACCAGCCTTCAGCGTCCTCGTGGATCTCTCCGGCTCCCTCCCCATTCGTCCAGCCACCAATGAGTAGCAGCCTCTCTCTTGTTGTGTGTGTGTGTGCGTGTGTGTGTGTGTGTGTGTGTGTGTGTGTGTGTGTGTGTGTGCGAGTGTGTGGGTGGTGGAATACGCACATCTTGCCGACGGACTTGTACAAGGGGACGGTGTCGTTGAGGGGCTCCACCTCGCGGGCTGTGAGCACGGACCGCCGCAGAGCGTGCTGTTTCTGTGCCTTTTGTTGCTCCAGCAAGTACATGCGCGACTGCGTTGTCTGCTGCACCTCGCTGAGCTCCTCGAGTGCCTTCGTGGAGAAGAAGGAGGAGGATAGAAAGAGGAGATGGGGCGGGCAAGGTCACAGCATGTTCATGTTGATGGCGCGAGGTGAGAACAAGCGTGAGAGCAAGCGTGAGAGCAGCGAGTGAAACGGGAGGAACCAAAGATCGTTCACACACACACACAACACACACACACGCACACACAACACACACACACACGCACACACGCACACACACACACACACACACACACACACACACACACACCTTGCGAACTTCGGGGTCCATCTTGTGGTCGGTGCGTGTGGTTGGTGTGTTAGCTGATGTGGTCGTTGTGTCGTTTGGTGTTGTGGGGCAAGAGAGTGGGAATCGTGTGCGACTGAATTCAGACACAAGCCGTTATAAACTGAATTCAGTCGTTCACGCCAAACGTTCACACATTCACACTGCTCTTTGCTTTCTTCTTCCACGCCACAACAAACACCAAGACAGAGCAGCCAAGATGGCCAAGCACCACCCCGACCTCATCATGTGCAGGAAGCAGCCAGGCGTCGGTAAGCACCTTAGCAAAAGAGCAGGGGATGGCGTGCTGTGCGTGGATGGAGATGTTTCTTGTTGCTACGGCATTTTGTTTTGGGTTTGGGGTTTGGAGTTGGAATGTCAACTTTGGTGTGCGTGCCTGAACAGCGACACACGCACCACACACACACATCACTCGCTCACTTGTGGTTGTGGTTGCTGCGCTGTGTTTGTTGTGTCCTGCCCTCTCCCCAACACATCACCACAGCCATTGGCCGCCTCTGCGAGAAATGTGAGTCGAAGCATACGTGAGTGCGTATGTGTGTGGACATGTGTATGTGTGCTCGCTTGTGTTCTGTGCACTCACCAATGGTATCGATGCCATCAACCGCCAATCCTGCTCACGCACTCACCTCATCCTTCACTTGTTTGCTCTCATCACAGGCGATGGCAAGTGCGTCATCTGCGATTCCTATGTCCGTCCCTGCACCCTCGTTCGCATCTGTGACGAGTGCAACTACGGCACATACCAAGGTGTGTGTGTGTGTGTGTTTGTGTGTGTGCGTGTGTGTGTGCGTGCGTGTGTGTGTGTGTGTGTGCGTGTGTGTGTGCGTGCGTGTGTGTGTGTATGTATGTGTGTGTGTGTTTGTGTGTGTGCGTGTGTGTGTGGTGGGGTCTGTTCATGACCATGCCCGTGGGCTTTCTTGTGCGCCTCTTGTGCTTGCAACGTTGTCAGCTCATGTGCGCTCACGTTCCCTGATTGCCACAGGTCGCTGTGTGATCTGCGGTGGCCCCGGCGTCTCCGATGCGTACTACTGCAAAGAATGCACAATCGAGGAGAAAGACGTGTGTGCCCAACTCGAATGTCTTGCTTTGGGTTGTAATGCTTTCCTTGCGTGACACGTGTGCAAAGCGTGCTCCTTTGCCCATCCCCTCCTCACCGATTCCATGTCACGTACTCATCCACCTTGTGTCGCCCCCTCTTGACCGTGCAGAGAGACGGGTGTCCGAAGATTGTGAATATTGGCGCGTCAAAGACCGATCTGTTCTACGAACGGAAGAAGTACGGCTTCAAACCGCGCTAACGCACGCTGTAGCAGCTCTGTGTGTGTCTGTGTGTCTGTCTGTGTCTGTCTGTGTATCCTGTCTGTTGAGCGTACAATCTTGTGCTGGGGGTCTTGTATAATGGATTGGATTGATTGAGGAATTGTGGCTCGTCTTTTACGCGTTCATTACACAGAAAAAAAAAGAGGCCCTTAGCACGATTCATGGCAGTTTGATGTGACAATGCACATAGTGTGTGTGTATGTGTGTGTGTGTGTGTGCATGTGTGTATGGTGTCTCATGGCGGGTTGCTGGGTGACGCTGCGGAAGGAATGTGCAGCTGCAATGGGGGGAAGAGGAACAGAGGAGGGGGCGGGATGAAGGCACGTGAGGTGACAGGTTAGGCGAAGGGGTGATGGACGTATGTGACAAGTAGGAAGGACATTGTCGTGATGGCACAACTCAAGCATTTCGATGTCTTCACACAAAGCCAGCACCATACACACACACACACACACACACACACACACACACACACACACACACACACACACACACACACACACAAACGCGCACACACACACACACACACACACACACACACACACACACCTGTTGGAGGTAGTCGCGGTGATGGTGGTCGTCGTAAGCATCGTCGTCGTCGTCATTGGCACCACCACGGCTTGGGGCGCGACGGGTTGGCCGGCGAATGTGCAGCACTGCACGCAGCCGCTCGTCAGTGGGCTGCTGGTAGGTAATGAAGGGGGGGGGGAGTTAGTTGGTGGTGGTGAAGGAAGCAGTGAGGTGCGGTGTCAACACACGAGCAAATAAAATACATCCATATCCACAGCTCACATCCACAGCTCACATCCACAGCTCACATCCACA